AAAGTGCATCCTTTTTATTTCCACTTTATTTCGTATCGATATGTGCATTTCGTATCAAGGTGAATATTGCCGTGATGATCGCCAACATTCGTCACGGATAGGCACATCAAGAAGAAGAGATCTATTTCCACACCATCATAGAGGTAGAGTGATAATGGTGCGTTTTTATGTGGTTTCCCCGGTAGGCCTAATCCACAAATTAAATAATAAACTTAGTACAAAATATTATTCTGAGGAACTAGAGTATCATCGTCAGAGTTTATTATAATTGCATTTACTCTGGCTTCTACTAAATTATCTAACTCCCACATTTTTGGTTCTACCTTTTGCCCTAACAATGGTAAGGTCATGGAGGAAGCTGTCAGACCACAAAGCAACTGATAAATAGACAGGAGAGAAACTAAAAGAAGGTACCAATGAAACTTCCAACTAAGAAGAGATTGATGAACTGGTAAAGAACCTGCCGGGATGTAAAAAAATGAAGGAAAATGATGTTACCAAGTGGTTGAGTGCAGACGAACAGAACAAAATAACAGATGGCGAATTATTGAACCTGATCGCCTGGTGTGCAAGAATGATGACAAAAACCATGGACGTATAAACACAGATGGACTCAATTTACATAAAATTGTGTAGTCAAAATTATTTGAATAGGTCACATTATCAGCACCTTCAACTGTTGTCACGTTTTGTTTTAAAATTTCTTATTCGCGAGTCGCTGAAAATATTACTCCGTATTTTATACTCTACAGGTGCGATCAAACCAAAATAATAATTTATTGGTTAGATTAATATATTTAATTGTAATCAAAATATCAAGTATGCACATAGTGTGCATTATCATTTAATAATAGCGTATAATAGATATCAATCAATTGTTTTATATGTAGAAGCACTGAAAACTATTTATAAATGGCAACGGTTGTTTACATTTCTCTGTTTTATGGATCTACGTCAAACTTCAAATGCTGTTCCATGTTTGTTTACTTTTTACAGTAGATGAGGAAAAAGTTGTTTTTTGATATTTTGGCTGTATTTTAAGAGATATTTGTGAAAAGTGAAATAAAATAAACGAAATTTTTACATCCCGATCTCTCATTTCATTCGTAATTACATACAATTTACATTATTTAAGATGAGGAAATGAGGAAGCGTGTTTGTTTACATTTTAATAGGAGTACCATTGGGTTTATTCATGTTCATTAATGTATTGAATAAGATATGAATTCATGAAATTAGTAGACATTTATAAATTGTAAGTAGACATTATCTGATTAAAAAAGATCTATTTAGTACCTTTTTAATTTAATATTTCTTATGCATACAAATAAATTTGTGAAATGAATAAAACTCATTTATTTTTCTATGTAGGCTTCCAAATAATATTGACGATCGAACTATTTGGGTAGCAAATTAAGGAGAAAACATTTTCATATCATTGTTTGATTTTTTTTTGACAAAGATTTTTATTGTAGCATTATTTCGATACCTATTAAAAAATTAACTTGAATTCAACTATATTTTATTGTATTATTTTTAAAGCAAATAAAATTGTATTTTAATTTTTCTATAAAGACGTGATTTGTTAATAGTTAAACTCTCGTTTTTTTTAAATTCTTTGAACGTGTTTTTATACATTATTACTACTTCCAATTTTTAAAATCTGAATAATTACCCGCGAGTAAAAATTCAAGCACGCTTATGCTCATTGCGGAAGCATCACATTCTATCGAAGCTTCAAAACATTGTGTGTTAAAAGTATCTTATTGCTGTGTCCATCTATGTTTATACGTTCATGACAAAAACTCAGACAACGAAGGGGATGAAAGCACTGACAAAAATTCGGTCGTGATGAGCCATTCCGAAGCATTGAAGTAGTTTAAGGCTCTACTATATAAATTTCAGACCGTTTACAGCTACATATTTTTAAATGGTCTTGATAAGCTGATTTTTTCATATCCAGATCGGTCGGTCGCCACATTGATCCGGATGTGGCAGGTTATACTGTATATAGTTTAAAAACTTGTGAAGGATGAAAAATCACATATTATGCACTATGATGTCCTTTTTTTTGTTGTTTTTGTCACAGGATCTCACAAAGTAAAGACCTAAAGGTCTTATACATATGTATTGATTAACATATCACCTCACTACAATGATAGTGTCACAAGGAAAATATGAAGACAGACAGTACCCTGGATGTAAGCGGAAAACTTCTTATTAGGGATATCTATATTATTGTTTTTTAACAAAACAAACTCTTTGCTGGGCGTGAGGATGAGGCAAATATTGTAAGCCTCGAAATCGATCGTTTCTATAACACTTTGAAAGTAAATATTAGAGTATTGACCTTTTTAATATATCTGTTCAATTATGGACTCACACTTGCAACCCTTTTATCATCATAATAGATAATTATTATAATAGTCAAAATAATATTAAATTTACTAATTTAAGTTGATAGAAAACAGCAAGCACCTTAAAAATTTTCACAGTTCCAAGTTTATTTAAATAACACTATAATTATAAACCAACACTATAATTATACCAACACACACATACATAGAGCTATTAAAAGTCAAAATTATATTTATATAATTAAATTCAACAGACATAAATGTGATTCGTATATCTGTTAAAACTGCAATTAAGTGTCTTTGTTTAGAGGTGTAGATTGTCGTTACTTGTGAGTTTCTACTTGTTACTTTTGATACGCTTTTGTATATAATCAGTTACAGTATAAGTGATTTTGTAACAAGTAGATACCTTTTTTTTTTTTTATTAAAAAAAGTGAAACTGGAACAAACCATGAAGTGGAGATATCCAGGAGTGGCTAGTATACCTGTTGAATACAAAGCACGTGGTGTTCGTGCACCACGTGCTAAAGGATATCTCAAACTCGACCTTTTTGAGGATTTGGAAATAGTCAAGGAAAAGAAAAATAGTCCCAATTGTGTTAATCGTCACACCAGCATCAACAGAGACTTCGTCCCACTTCATCGACGATTATTCTCCTAAACTAACTTTCTCTCTTTTAACTACCCATCCAATTTTACTTCACTTCTACATTTCTTTTTATTTCCCATAGCTAAATTTCAACTTACATAATCATTCATACTTAACTCTATACTTGTCACCATTAATACACTAACATCACCCCTTTGCCAATATCCAACTACCCATCCTCTCCAATAACTACCATCACTTATCATACACATTTTTTATAATTATTCATTTTACATCTATTATTCTCTTATCACAATCAGTTTTAATATCACCAGTTTACATCGCCATATTCACCTTCTATTTCCTTTTCTTGCTTTCTCGTTAATTTCTTTTTTCTTTTTCTTTCCTCTACTCATCTTCCATAAATTACAATCCTACTTTTATATATATTCATTTAATCATACACATACAATCATACACATTTTCTTATAAATATTCATTTTACATCTATCTACCTCTTATCACAATCAGTTTCAATTTCCCCAGCTTACATCGTCACATTCACTTTCTATTCCCTTTCTTACTTTCTCGTTTATTTCTTTTTCTTTTCCTCGACTCATCTTCCATAAATTACAATCCATATTTTATATATACTCATTTAATACAACGATACAATTAGGTAATAACATCCTTTTCATCCCATTTAAAATGATTTATTAATTTTAACCACTTAAATTACATAAAATTTTTTCCCTACCTTGGTATACCGATTTATTTTGCATCACAGTCACGCATTGATTTATATTCTCCCATCAGTTTTTTAAAATACCAAAAATCGCTTATGATCCTACTACACACAAAACACATTTCTTCACTAAAAACTGCCTACTCACAAACTTAAGCACAATGACTGCTCCTACCACATCATTCCTCTTGACATTGACGGGTACTAACTGATTTTTCATACCATCTTTCTATCAGTTAGCCCTAGACTCCAACACAGATCAGAGGTAATGTAAGTCAATAAAACTTCACCAACTACAGGGGGTCATATAAGATGCCCCCAGTTTCATTTTTTATATTACACAAGTCAAGAGTCTATTGCATTTACCTGAATAAATAACACGAAGAATATTATTTTTTAAATCCAGATGTCCACCGAACGTTTTTTATGTGGCCACACAATGTTTTTTAACAACCTTTTTTATGTAAGTAGTAAAAAACCAACTTTCTCTTTTTGTATGTTCAAATTTTAACTTTGTTGTTTTTAATATTGGTATTTTTACTCTCTCTTTTAGTAAACTGATGATGGAATGATACAATTCCGAAAAGATCTTTATAATAAAAAATTTTAAGCTTTTAATAAGCGTTTTTATACCTTAATACACACGAACACCACGTGCTTTGTAAGTAGATACCTCTTCAGCATCTCTAGAAATTGTAAATGAATTGATCACGCTTTCCGAGTGTTTATATTCTACTTTTCTGTTAGACGAATATAATATAGGGATACTTCATAAGCTATAATATTGTGTTATATAAAAAGTGTGCTAAAACGCAATTGAAGAATCGGAAAATTGTGCTAAAATAACAATTCCGTCAGTGGCGTAGAATTTAAGAGGGGCCAACCATTCACTTTCACCTGTTGTACGCATCTAATAGTAGCCAGAAACGTTTATTTAACATAATTTAGTAGGGTGTACAGTACCTACACTTCCTGCCAAGTATGACAAGGATATGTCAAATAGTTTTAAAGTACTGTGTGCAACTGGTTTTTAAATTTTTAAATAAAGACACTGTAACTCAGTAAGGAGCTACATTTTATTTAAGTAATTTGGATTAAATCTTATTATTTTGAACCCAGGAATCTACAGTTAAAATATTTCCAATTAATTATGAAACAGCTTGTATAAGGTTCGCGAATTACGATTAATTGGTCTTGCTAAGACAGAATAATTATGTAGTTTAGATAATAGATGTAGTAATAGATAAATATATCCAAAGTGTTGAATCATGAAACATGTTAATATTCATTTGATTATTTCTGTTTTCAGGAAAAATGTATCGAGCATTTAAAAGTGGCGGAAATAAAAATTCCCAACACCGATGTCACGATTACAACTAGGAAACGACATATAAAAGAAAAACAAGACGATCCTAGTACTAGTGTACCTGAAAAAACGGACTGTAATATCCTATCCCAAAATAAGTTAGATGTATCAAAAGAAGAAGAAAGTGACGATTATTCGCATAATTCAAATATACCTATGAAAGTTACGGTTCATGAATCAGTGTCAAAACTTTTTGCTCTTTATCCAAATCTTAAATTACGGACTGGTGTTTTGGTTTTTGATCTCAATCCCTTTGTTAGCTTAGAATTAGACGCAGTCGAAAAATACTGTGATGATAATAATATAAATTTAAAACTTACCTCTGAAAGTGTAGATAATGTAAATATTGCCGATCAAAAGACTATACCCAAAAATAATTTTTCAGATCTGAATTTTTGTTCAGAAACAAATATTTTAGAAGACAAAGAATCTTTCACGAATCCTCAGAGCAATCACGCGACTTTGAGAATGACTCGTTTTAGAATCAAGCAGGTAGATATTCTGAATAAGTTCAAAGTAGGTCCTATTAGAACAACGCGTTCGAATAATCCATCGAAGTTTAATATTATTCCCGAAGACTCCTTTAAACGAAGTAGAGAGAGTAGTAAAAGTGAAGTTTCAGTAACTGATACACAACAAAGTAATTTAAAAAGAAGAAAATTATTATCCAGTGATTTTATATCCAACACAGACAATATTTGTTATTTCTATTGCAGTTTTTGTAAAGCAAAATTTAGAGACATTGAATATAGACTATGCCACGAACAGAAATGTACCGTAGGTCAAGCTTTAAACAGCAAACCGTACGTTGAATTGATTAAAGTTGATCTAGATTTAAAAATTAGAAAAAAATATTTGTTACATGATACTATTTCCGATCAAAAACAAGTCAGTCCTAACGAAGTTATAGAATTATTCAATAATGACCAATCACTAGTGGACTCAACTATCGTTACTAATATTGCAACTGAACCGAACAATGTTGTAAATGTGGAAAATAAGTTTGAAACGGAATCCAAAAATCACATAGATAACTGTAATACGTTTTCACAGACCATTGATACACTCGGTAACAAAGAACCTTTACCTCAAATCGGGGTATCAAATACTCCCAATGGAGTAGTACCTGCTAATGTGTTACCACTTCAATATTTAAGCACAGCAATAGTGAGGCCGACTATTATATTAAGAAATGACAGTTTACTTAATGATAGTAATATGTGTGGTTCCGACATTGCCTTACTCAAAGAATTAATACAAAACTCAAAACGAATTTTACGAAAAGACCCATTAATGCAAACGGTGGCCAGTAAGGACATAACTCAAACCTGGACTGTGAAAAATATGTTTTCACAGTTGAGGTTATATAAAGTTCCGATAAAAATTCGATGTGGCGCTCATTCTATAAGTAGCTCCACGCCAGAAATTAAAATAGAGAAGGAGGTTGATATATGGCACGATATAAAACCAATAATTTTAATTAACACAAACTCAATGGTAGATATTAACAAAACGATATTGAGACCATCTGGAATAGTACTCACGAATTCATTGCGGACAAACAAAAAAGACTCTTCACTGACAATTAAAACAGGCTCTTTGCGAACAAATAAAAAAACAATTTTATTAAAACGTAGTATTTCATCACAAACTCCTCAAAACATCGGAAATGGTGTAAAAATGAAAATTTCCAGAATAATTTCTTCAACTCAGAAGAAAAATAAAGTTTGTAGTCAGAATATATCTTCAACTCAGTCTTCTGCAACGATAACACCTTCTAACTCTGTTCAGACCGTTTTTTCCCAAAATAGTGGAACAATTATTACTAATGTTTATAACCAAACCCAAGTCAATCTACCTCAAACCCTGAATTCATCTATTAATACGACTAATAATTATACGGAACAAATTTTTACTCCAAATCTGCTCAACAATACTTCAAACGTCCAACAAATATTTATTCCTGCGAATAATACATTAACTAGTCATGGCAGTCATCTACAAATACTATCTCATACTCTAAACAATGCAGTAGTTAACAACATTGACAATAATTCTCAACAAATGTATATACCATTGTCAAGCAATTCGATTAATTCGACAAATTGTATTTCTCAAGTATTCGGCTCGTCCAGTGGTACCGTTATGCCTGCTACTAATCAATCTTCTATTTTAATACCAGTTACGAATCCTATGGTACCTGACGGCAGTATTCCTAATTTGAATGTAATCAATCCATTGAGTAATGTACCCAATCAAATTACTCCATTGAGTACTGTACCCAATCAAATCACTCCATTGACTACTATACCCAATCAAATCACTCCAGTGAGTACTGTACCCAATCAAATCACTCCATTGAGTACTGTACCAAATCATATCACTCCATTAAGTACTGTACCAAATCAAACGAATGTAGGTTTTACTTATTCTTACAGCAATAATACGCAGAATGCTGTATCTTTGGTAAATAACCCACCTATATTAGTTAATTCTCCAGTTCCAAACTGTAACGTGACGTCAAGTATATTTGCAAGCAATGAGGTTCAACAGAATATGTTGGGTACTGTAAATTTTACGCCAAATAATATGACCGATACTTTTAGTACATCGGTTGTTCAATGCCAAACTTCTGCAATATCAAATAATTTCAGTCTATCCCAACCAATAATTAGGGTCAAAAATATATATGAATTAAATTAATTGTAATTATGTAATATATATATATATATATATATATATATATATATATATATATATATATATATATATATATATATATTTGTGTATATAAATATTATATTTTTGTAATGTGTTATTTATTAAATTCATTTTTACTATATTATGGTTTTTATTATCCGTTGAAAATATATATTTTAAATTTTTTCAAAATATATGTTTGCAAAATGCATAATAATATATTGCACCTTCTGCATATGTTTATTTCATTTCAATATTTCAGTCTTCAATATTACCGATGGTACCTACAGATTAGTACTACAGAGAACTATATTTTCACTATTTGGAAGAGTGATTCATCGTTTAAAGGTGGAGAAGTGGGAAAAGACGTATGAAAATCCAGTGGCGAATACTCACTTTTATTTTACGTTAATTATATTATATTTTTCAAATATTATTGTAAGAAATAGGCCACAATATATCTATTTACAAGTTTTTACTGACGTTTCGATCTCTATATCTAAAAACCGGTTTCAAAGATATAAATGATAGTTATATTTATTTTACTTGTATATTAATATATATATATATATATATATATATATATATATATATATATATATATATATAGTGGTGAGTGCTTTATCACCCGGCTTTTTAACGTAAGAGATAGAAAACACAGTTACCTTGTGAAATAAAAAGAGATGAAACTCGTAGAGGTGGGAAATAATCGATAGAAACCTATAATTTACATTACATTGCATTAACACTATCGATAGTCTCACACCTTTAGACGTTAGCTTCCAGCTAAATCACCTCGGCCATAATTATTATTTGTGACGTCGTATGTGTAACGCATTTCAGTGACATTTTTTAATTTCGCATAAAGTAAAAAATGATTGACCACAATAAAGCAAAAATGTGAATAAAATAAATTAATTAATAGTGATTATTTATTCTAAAGTTTTAAATTATTAACCAAAAATAATTTCTATGATTTGAGGCGTTTCATACACTCTTGTCACAGAAATAAACATCAGTCCTTCGTGGATTAGTGGTAAGAATTCGACACTGCGACGCAGACGATTAGAGTTCAAAACCTATATGTGGTTTTTTTTAATAATTTGAAATTATGCAGAGATCGTTTTGATTTGAATCACTAAACATTTATGTCAGTCGTTACTAGTATTAGAAGTGTTTAAAGGTACACATAAATATCTTTTTGAATTATTTTGTATTTGCGTTTTATAACATTGGAATAAGAATAAATTGTAAATAATGAGTTTTTCGAAAACTTGTTACCTAATATGTATAATACTTTCTATTATTTTTTGATTGAGTAAAACAAAAATTTTATCCTTGGTGGGAATTGAACCCCAATCTTCTTGTCAATAGACCACGTGTCTAATAATTACACCAACTCCACATACAATAAATGTTTTCGGACAGAACATACGTACCTTTAGTTTAGTCAAATATTTCAGTTGAGTTATTTTTATTATTAAATAAACTATTATTAAATATTTATAATTTAAAATCGCTACTAATTAATGTTTTTTACTTTAATTCTTAATTTATTCAATCATTTATTCTTACATCAGGAATTATTAAAATAAAATATTTTCGCGGTCATCCGTATAATTATGACTGAAGTCAAATAGCCATGTCTAAGAACTAGCTTTATCTCATTCTTTCTCACAAAATCCATCTTCTATCCTTTCCGCTATTTTGCCGGGTTTTAAAGCGACTTTAAACACTTCTAATACTATAATAACGTCTAAAGGTGTGAGACTATCGACGGTGGTAATGTAATGTAATGTAAATTATAGGTTTCTATCGATTATTTCCCACCTTTACGAGTTTCATCTCTTTTTTTCTATCTCTTACGTTAAAAAGCCGGGTGATAAAGCACTCACCACTGTATATATATATATATATATATATATATATATATATATATATATATATATATATATATATATATATATATATATATATATATATATTTATATTTATAATCTTATATTATTTATTTTCTTTTTTTTTTCTATCTTTAAAAACGGTCTCTGGAATAGCGATCGAAACTTCAGTGTATTAAACATGTAAATAGATATATTGTGGCTTATATCCAACCTTCTCCGCAAAAATACAGAATGCCACAAACAAAAAGCTATAGAAAAATAAATATATCTGTCATTTTTATGTTTGAAAACGGTCTCTGGATATAGAGATCGAAACGTCAGTAAATAAACATATGAATAAATATTTTGTGGCTCATTCCCTACATTCTTCTAAAAAAATACAAATAAAAATAAAAATACAGAATGCCACAAGCAAAAAGCTATAAAAACAAGTAATTTTGCAGAAAGCTTACTGATGCCACCCGGCTGTCGCGGAAGTTACGCTAAAACATCTTTTGACGTGAACCGTCCGAGATTTACACAATGAAATTTTTTTAAAACAAATTATAAGACAGTTTCCATACCACCCCAGAGGTATATTTTGTGGTGCATTACTGTTTAACAGTATAAAACAAAACAAAATAAAATCCTATAAAACAAAATAAAATTCTATAAAAACAAAATAAAAATAATTTTTGATGTAACAAAACATTGTACTATTCTATTTAAACAGAAACACCATACACACTTACTATGTTCCTCTCGTTGTTTTTTGTTTTTGGTTTTTTTATGCTGATCTTCTTACTAAACTATTAGAAAATATTATTCTCTGCCTAAATCTGAATCTACGATTTTCTTCTTTAATTATGTGGCTTATACATTTAGCCCATTTCTCTAGAGTTACATGAAGAATTGCTTGAATCAAAAGTTCCTTAACTTCGTTTAATTTGAACGTTTTGTTATTGCGTGCTACTTCTCCTTTCACTTACGCCCAGGTAAGTTCATTTGGTTTAAGTTCGCAATGATAAGGTGGTAGACGCAAAACTTTGACACCATAATCTTTTGCAGTTTCATCCACAGCATATTAAGATATTCACTTTTCCTTAACCGTGCAATGTCAAATAGCTGAATTTTGAGCATTGATTCTTCGTATGCAATCCCCTTTTCTGTAAGCCATTCTTGAATTCTCCCTTTCCGCCATGCCGTCGTCAGTAATTGTTCTACTCTGCGGCTATGATATGGCGCATTGTCCATAACAACCACAGACCCAGGTTCCAATTTTGGTAAAATTCTCTTAAACCAGCGCTCAAATACTTCGGAAGTCATTTCTTCATAATAATCACCTAATTTTTTCGACTCAAATTGAAGCAAACCATCATCAAGCAACCCTGTATCACTTCCTATATGGGTGATGATTAAACGCCGTCCCTTTCCTGACGGAGCTTTTAATCCTGTAGACCAGCCTTCTATAAATGCTTCGCGTTTACTTTTGACATTTAAATCTTGCCAAACTTTTCCAACTGTATGACCTTCGTTAATCCAGGTTTTATCCAAATAATATATTTTGCGTCCAGTGCTGCGAATTTTGCGTATTTCTTCTAAATATTTTCTTCTCTACAGAATAATTTAATTTTTTTCCAATAGTATACTTTTTCTGTTGCGTATTACATATCGAAAGTTAATTTCACGCATGGTCCTGATTAAGACACTAGAGATATCTTGGGTAAAGAGTTATCGTTTTCGAGCTCTTGAAAAATTTTTTTCAGTGTTGGAATTTCACTCCGAAAATAAAATGAATGAATTTTTCGACGTATAATATTCCTTGTCTCGTCATCCAAAACAATGCTTTTTCTACCTCAAGTTTTACCTTTTTCTTGTTTTTTATTTTCCGATGTATTTTTAAGTACACGGTACATACAGCTAACGGATACTTTTGTTAAACTGTTACAAATGTCGACCGCTTGGCTAACATTTAATGCCATTTTTCTGCCGACAATTCCTTCATAAACGTTTCGTATCATTACCTTCTCTTCGGACGTTACATTTTCCGTCTCTTTTGCGGCTTTTCATTTTTGGAATCAACATCAGAATTTTGCTGTCTTCTCTTGGAACAACTCGGTTTTTCGTCCATTGTATTTCAATAATCACAGAATATAACTAAAAATTCACTATAAACCAAAACTCTAATAAAACTCAAACCAAATAATCACAGAATATAACTAAAAATTTACTATAAAACGACAAACAACACTCGTATTGTCAATAACACGTTTTATCAATAACACAAACTTATCACATAAAATATATTCACAAAATGCAACACATGCACTACCCTCAGAAACGCCAATGTAAATGAACGATTGTTGATTTCTGGATCGGCACTTGCTCGCCAAAAACGAGTTTTAGGGCTATCTACCTATGTGTCGGAATTGGAACGGAGCTAATTCCAAAGTTGCCAAACGATTGAAAAATAGTGTTTTAAAATATCGATTTTTATTTTATAAATTTAAATACGTAACGAAACGGAACATATAAATAAAATTTATTTGATTACAATTTTGTGCTTAATTTTAATATTAAAAAAATCATGTTTTTTGGTATTTTTATGACGATAATAATCGCTGCGTGGAAGAATACAGGTTTTGTGTGACCATAATTACAAGAATTGGCTACGCTGTACGATAACTCCTGGTCAAGTCTTCTATAGAGAAGTACAAATAAATATACTACTTATATATTCTGTAATTTCTCATTAGAAAACGCAAATTGCAATTGAGTTATTAAAAGGGTGTTTTAAAAGTTTATTGCGTGGGGTATGAATAGAGTTGTGCTTTTGCAAATAATTTTGTTCTCAAAAGTGAAAGTGAAAACTTGAACATAGTCAGTCGAACTTTTTCGATTTGTTTACTATTTTTATTTTAAAATGCCGAAAATAACTAGTATTGCTACTTGAATTAAACCTTATAAAGGGGACAAAGTTGGTGGAAAAATTGTAAGTACTAAATATTTAATACTTTTCTATATTTGATATGCTATTTAAAATATTTTAATGATTGCATTTATGACCGTTAATAAAACGGAAATAATATAATTAAATTTTAATATAATACCAATACCTGTTTA